AAAAAAACCCTCCACCCAGAGCCAGAATTACCACCAGACTAATAATTATTCCAATTATCGTTTTTTTTTTTTTTTTTTCATTGTTATTCATCATTATAATTTTATAACCTTTACAACATTTTTATAACTAAAGCAAAGCCACACCGGCTCCTTAAAAATTTCTCTCAAAACCGAACGCCACCAAGCAATACCTCAATAAGTCCTCGATAAATTAGTATGGCTTAACTCAACATATTACTATGCTTACATTTGCCACCCATCAACCTCCTGGTCTCGAAGGTATCTTACTCCTTTTACGGATGGGAAATCTTATCTAGAAGTGAGTTTCGCACTTAGATGCTTTCAGTGCTTATCTCGTCCCGACATAGCTAACCAGCCGTGCCACTGACGTGACAACTGGAACACCCTTGGTCGGTCCACTCCGGTCCTTGCGTACTAAGAGCAGATCTTCGCAAATTTCCTCACGCCCACAACAGATAGGGACCAAACTGTCTCACGACGTTCTGAACCCAGCTCACGTACCGCTTTAATGGGCGAACAGCCCAACCCTTGGTAGGTTCTGCCCCACCAGGATGCGATGAGCCGACATCGAGGTGCCAAACATTTCCGTCGATGTGGTCTCTTGGGAAATATTAGCCTGTTATCCCCGGGGTAACTTTTGTCCGTTTAGCGACGGCCTTACCACTAAGAACCGCCGGATCACTAAGTCCTGCTTTCGCATCTGTTCGACTTGTTAGTCTCACAGTTAAGCATCCTTGTGCCTTTACACTCTCGCATAGGATTTCTATACCTACTGAGAATACCTTATGAACACCTCCGTTACTTTTTAGGAGGCGACCGCCCCAGTCAAACTACCCACCAAACACTGTTCTTTTGGCTGTAAACCAACAAGTTAGAATTTTCCGCTCGCCAGAGTGGTATCCCACCGGCGACTCCTCCGAAACTAGCGTCTCGGAATCATAGTCTCCCACCTATCCTGTACAAGCCAGAAGAAAATCCAATATCAGGTTGCAGTAAAGCTCCACGGGGTCTTTCCGTCTAGTTGCGGGTAACCAGCATCTTCACTGGTACTAAGATTTCACCGAGCCTATGGTTGAGACAGTGCACGAATCGTTACGCCTTTCATGCGGGTCAGAACTTACCTGACAAGGAATTTCGCTACCTTTGGACCGTTATAGTTACGGCCGCCGTTCACTCGGGCTTCAATTCAAAGCTGCCCGACCATTGCTGGTCGGTTGACCTCTCCTCTTAACCTTGGAGCACTGGGCAGGCGTCGCCCCCTATACATCCTCTTACGAGTTAGCAGAGAGCTGTGTTTTTGATAAACAGTCGTTCGTGCCTCTTCACTGCGGCCCAGGTTGCCCTGGGCACCCCTTCTCGCGAACTTACGGGGCTAATTTGCCGAGTTCCTTAACCATAGTTAGCTCGCTGGCCTGTGGATATTCTCCTTGACCACGTGTGTTCGTTCTCGGTACGGGTACCATAAATATATCCTTAGAAGTTTTTCTAGGAAGCAAAGCGTTCGGATACTTCGGGTTGCCCCTATCTTTCGTATTTCAAGGTTGCGGCTAAAAAACCGCACCGAGCGGATTTGCCAACTCGGCCCTCTTTATACTTAGACCAGCACTATCAATCACTGGCTATCGTAGCTGACTTCGTCACTCCTTCGGTAATTATGGTGAGTATAGGAATATTAACCTATTATCCATCGACTACGCCTTTCGGCCTCGCCTTAGGCCCCGACTAACCCCGGGCAGACGACCTTCACCCGGGAAACCTTGGTCATTCGGCCAGAAGGATTCTCACCTTCTATCGTTACTCACGCCGGCATTCTCACTAGTAAAAACTCCATTAGTCCTTACGGTCTAACTTCGCTGTCGTTACTACGCTCCCCTACCGCTAGTTGGCAAAAGAAAAATATTAGTGCTTTTTTCTGTTTCTGGTTTGACGATAACCCTTATCACATAATCCATTTTTGATACTAACTCACCAATCACACGTTTCACAATTTAAACATTCTGGTTGACAATCATCATGTCTCTTTTTGTGGTTATTCCACAACTTTTATAACGTATTATCATCAATGTATTCCTCAATATACTCAATCTACTCCATACAATTTTGATTCTGTTTTTCCTAACTTACGTTTTTTTCTAATTCTTTTCAACCCTTCTAATTTATGACAACACTGAGGTGGCTTTCTCCCTCGTGATGGCTTTCGTCCTGCTTTTTTCTCAAATTTTATTATGTCTTGTTATCATTAAATAATCCTTTTTTTACCAACTAGCCCATAACTTCGGTATAGTATTTGAGCCCCCTTACATTCTCGGCGCTGCGAGACTAGACTAGTGAGCTGTGACGCACTCTTTAAAGGATGGCTGCTTCCAAGCCAACCTCCTAGCTGTCTTCGTCGCACAACTTCCTTCTACACTTAATACTACTTAGGGACCTTAGTTGATGGTCTGGGCTGTTCCCCTCACGTCTATGAAGCTTATCCCCCACAGACTGACTGCCCAATAATGAAACCGTGGTATTCGGAGTTTGATTAAAGGCGGTACCCGGTTAAGAGCCCTTCTCTATTCAGTGCTCTACCCCCACGGCTGTTCCTTGGACGCTAGTCCTACAACTATATCGGGGAGAACCAGCTATCTCTAGGTTCGATTGGCATTTCACCGCTAACCACAAGTCATCCAAGCACTTTTCAACGGGCACTGGTTCGGTCCTCTGTAGGTCTTTACTCCTACTTCAACCTGCTCATGGTTAGTTCACCTAGTTTCGGGTCTATAATCAGTAACTTAACGCTCTATTAAAACTCGCTTTCGCTACGGCTCCATTCTGTTAGAGAACTTAACCTTGCTACTAATTATAACTCGCCGGCTCATTCTGCAAAAAGCACGCCATTAGGCTTTAACGCCCTTTGACTTCTTGTAAGTGTGATGGTTTCAAGTTCTATTTCACTCCCCTTCCGGGGTTCTTTTCACCTTTCCCTCACGGTACTAGTTCACTATCGGTGACTAAGGAGTATTTAGCCTTGCGGGGTGGTCCCCGCAGATTCCCACAAAATTTCGCGTGTTCCGTGGTACTCAGGATTATAACAAACCACAATCGGGAGAATTAAGGCTTTCGAATACTAGGCTTTCACTATCTCTGGCTTAGGTTTCCAACCAATTCTTCTAGCCATAATTTTTCTAACTCTCGGTTGCTTAATTATTTTCCTCCAACCCCAATCATCCATCATGAAAACGATTGGTTTAGGCTTCTCCCCTTTCGCTCGCCACTACTTAGGGAATCATTATTTATTTTCTTTTCCTCTGGCTACTAAGATGTTTCAGTTCGCCAGGTTCGCTTTTTAAATACCACTTCAGCAGCACTTAAATATTACCACATTGCTGGTAATGAGTTACCTCATTCGGACATTTCCGGATCACAGTTTATTTTCCAACTCCCCGAAACTTATCGCAGGATATCACGTCCTTCCTCGCCTCTTAGTCCCAAGGTATCCACCATCCACTCTTAATAACTTACTTTTCGGTAAAATCTTGTGACGTTCAGTTTTCAAAGAAAGAGAGATACTAATATAATTCTCTCAAAATTAGCGAGTTAAACCAGCCAGTTTTCAGAGCTATATATTTATTTTTAATTTGTTTGATTTTAAAGTAAAGAAAGTGTAAACATTGCGATACCCAAAAAAAATTTTCACAAAAAAAGTGTTTAAGTCTTCTTAAATTTTTATTTCTGATTTTTTTATAATTTAGAGAAAAATTCTCTCTCAAATTTCGGCACTTGCCCGTGCGTGCTTTCTCGTTACGAGCTTTGGAAATGGTTTTTCTTCCCTTCTGTTATAACCACTAAAACCCACTTATATTAATCTTCCTTAACAGGGTTTTTCATTATTAAATTATTAAATATAATCTGAGACTACAATTGTGAATAAAACCATCGAAATTTCCCTGCCGTGAATAAAAAATTACAAACTGAACCAGGAGGAAAGGAGATTTTTCGCCCATTTGCCACCTAACTTCCC